GACGTGCTCATTCACTCCACGGGTGTCCGCAGGGAGAAGCCCATTGAAGCTGTGACAGGAGCTGGTGGCCGTATGACAAAAGTGACGATCGCAGTCAAGAAGCTGCGTGAAGTGGTTTCTCCCCGCCAGGCAGCTGGCGGGGCTTTGGCTGAAGGGCCTCCAGCCCGGTTGGCCCCCAGCACCCTCCGCAGCGTGGCACCAGGTGTGTGGTTTCCCGTGGGTGTTCTGCTTAGGTTTGAGGTAAAATGTTTGTGTTGTGTTTTCAGTCATGCCGTAGTTTTACAATTAAGGAATTTTTATATTCTGCTACTGCAAAAAAAGTTGTGTGTGTTTGTTTGTTTTCCCAGACTTTGTTTTTGCACAGGAAAAGCGACTTGTGTGGGGTGAGGTGGTCAGAGCTCCGTTAGTAGAACTCCAGTCTTGACTCCAGGTTCCTAGTTCAATTAAATTAGGCACTTACCATCTTTACCAGAAAAATGGTGACCGTCTTAGTTAACGTTTCACAAATTTCACACATTCCACATACATACATACATTTCACAAATGCAGTAGGCAGGAAGGCTTTAGGCAGCATCAGAGGATGAAACAGTGTACGTGGGCAGGGACCTGAAGAAGAAAGTTAAGAGGATTGATGCCTTTCCAGTCTGTCACAGTTTTTAATACAGTTTGTAGCTCATTGTTTTTAGGCACCATATGTATCTCTTCAATTTTATGCCCAAAGCACAGTCAGCAAGCAGATCTGTGCCTAACAGGATATTGCTCCTGCCAACAGACAACTCTGAGTAGTCCCAAATTTTGGGTCTTCTTTGTGTTTTCATGGAATTTTGTGAATTATTTTGTGGTTTTATACTGGAAAAGAGATGAAAAGTCTTTTAAACGCTTCTCTTTCTCTGCTTCTTTAAAGATGATTTTTTCTGGAGGGCTTGAGCTAGTAGATGTTCAAGCTATAGATGCTCTAAAGAAGTGTTTATTTGACACTTGAAAGGCAATAAATATTAAATCTTGGATGCAGGCATTCTGAGAAAGTCATTCAGCTCTAGTCCTTTTTAATTTGGAGGGGGTTTGCATATTTTCTGGAACAATACGAGTTTCAGAGCCGGTGAGTTATACAATTATTCAGAAAACTCTTAGGGGAAAAAAAAGTTTCCCTGCTATCTGCCATAACTTTGAATTTTACATGTTAAAATTGTTTTTCTTCCCCTATAGTCTTGGAAAACAAACAAATCAACCAACACTATGCCTCCTAAACCCCACCTGCGTGACATAAACAATATATACTGTTCAACTGCCTGTACCAATGAAGTTCACGTAGATGAGTAAACCAAATGAAAGAAAGAAATTGCATCCTTTTCTGTAACTTTTTTTTTTTAAAACTATTTGTAGTAGTATTAAGTAAATAATTTGAAGGGTTTTTTAATAGAATGAGACTGTACCGATGTACCATGTACTCTTCAAATTCAAACCTGACACAGTCTGTGTTACTTACCTAATGAATAGAATGTTCATTTTGTTTCCTTAAAACACGTATCAATTACAGTTTTGGGGGAAGGGATTTTTATCTTTTGGGGTCAAGGTTTAAACAAGTTCAAAACATGTTATTTTTATAGTGTTAGGAAGACATTTTGGTCTCTGACATAACTAAAATGCATACTCCCCTCAGTGTCCTCCTTCTGTACCATATAATTGTCTCTCTAGACAAGTAACTTGCTATGTTCCTATGATCTTTAGACTTGAATTTGAGCTAGACATTGTCGATTTTTTTAATGCTCTGTTTTTCAGAGACTTTGTAATGTATTGTAAAAAGAGTCTTTAATCCAGGCTCACAGGATTCATTAATGTTTGTAAGCTTCAGCTTGATGGCTGTGGTCATTTGTGTTATGAAAGCCATTATGCTTAGAAATTCAAAGGTACAGGCAGAGGAAATGTTGAGATTTGGGTTAATCAAGGTATACTGAAAATGCCTAACAAGTCATTATGACCATAGTAAAACTGCTTTTATTTTAGGAGTCCTGAGTACGAAAGGACATCCAGAACATCTGCTTTCAGTAGAAAAATCTACAGAGCCCATGTTTTTATCACAGATGGTAAGAAAAGTTACTGTTGCTTCCTGCAGTGCTGAACTAAGAGAACAGCATTTTTCTCAAAAAACTATAGCTTCTGTAAAAGCATGGCAAATCTTTGGCTGAGCTTCTACACAATAACTGTGCAGCTGCTTTCCTCTTTGAATTGCTGCTAATGTGATATTAATGCTGAAGTGTTTGGAGGGGCTTCGTTTCCTGTACTGCTACCTGTTGCATAATTAATACCAAGACTTGGTTTTAAATTTTGGTATAATTCTTCCTTTAAAAAGGCAAATTTGTTAAAAGCCCTAAAGCCTGTTGTAGATATTTTTTTTCCTCTTCATATCATAGATAATAAAATGGACATTAGTTTATATGGAACTCTCTAAAACTTACAATTAAAAGGCTTATTTCCTTTTGATTTGTTTGTTGTGCCTTGCATAGAGTGGGGACTTGTCCCTAGGGCATCCATATGGTGATAAGCATGCATGAGGATAAAATTAACCTATACTGTGAAAGGATTGCAGCAGTGTCTCTGCATGGCTCAAAGTAGACCTAGTGAGCTGAACAAAAGTCTCAAAAGCATGGTAGAGTACTCCACCATCAAATAAGGTTAAGTAAGATTTTTACCTTCCTAACTTGCCTTTCTGACTCCTCATAAACTTCAATTATTCATGGATTCCACTTCAAGAAAATTCAGCTGTCCCTTCAGTTCCACAGTCAGCATCATGAGTGCTTAATGCTGTGTGTATGGGCAATCCTGAATTGTTTGAGATTAGCAACTTGTATAAACGTAAATGTGTGTAGTTTCACTACTACTTCTTTGGCCACAGATGAGGAATATACACTTAATCAGCACTTAGAATATCTACTTCAAATTTGAAGTGTGTTTCTAGGGTTTTTGTCCCTAAAATGTCATGTGAGTTCTTGACTATGAAGTCCAGATGATTCTGTAGTAGAGATCTTAGCATATTTTGTTCCAAGACCTTGTGTTATTGTGTGGATATGCTTACACTTATATATTCAGCAATTCCATCTGCTTCTAAAATTTTTGGCCACTGATACCAGAGGCTTTCATCTATGTTTTTCTGCTCTTGTTCTGAAGGATTATCCTAGAGAAGCTGTAGTACAAGAAGATCCTTCACTGCTACTGGAAGATAGCAGAAGACCTAAAGGTAAGATACATCGATGTACTGCTACAGCCCCTTTTTTGTAAGAAATCTGATTAATTAGAGGAAACAGGAGTTTTGTTTTTATCTTGGGTATTTTTCTTCGATGTAGAAACTTTTGAGTGAAAATAATCAAAGGTTTCTGTGATAAAAAGATGATAATTTTAATTTACATTCTTAAATTTTGCAAATTTTACTTCAGTCTTGCTGGCATTACACGAGCTTGTGTAGCTGTTGTCATTAACTGAGAGGGACTTCTACCAGTGCACCAGAACGTTGAGATTCCTTTTGCTAATTGAACTATTCGTGTCTCTGCATAGAGGATTTGGTGGGTAGGGCGCCTTGTTTGGATGTGTTTTCCTATTGTGAGTAATTGTTCTACAAATGCATGTTTTTCTGCAAGCAACCTATGCCATAAAAAGTATATTTTTAATCCTTAAGAATCTAAGAAATCACACTGTCGATGCCTTTTCCTTTAATTTCTGAATCTGCCGGTCAGTTTCAAACAGATTTGGGCAAGTGAAGACTTTTTAAAGAAAATACACTTCTGCAGGTTTCTTGGATATCTGTGGCTGTGTAGAGGAGAGAAGCACAAATCAATACGCCAATTTAAGGCCAAAAATCAATACTTTAGTTTCCTCTTTCATGCTCAGAGGCAGCAGCTAACTGGCTTATCAGCATGTGCGCAGTAGCTGTGTGTAGTCAGCAGTAGAAAAACACCGAACCTGCCATATCTCAGGTTGTTACCTCTGCTGAGCAAACAGTGGATGAAGGAGAGCCTGCAATCCTTTTAGCATAATATAAAGCTATTAAGAAAATTTGTTGTAATTTCTGATGACTGTGGAGAAATATTCATATCACAGTTCTATTTTTTTAATTAAATTTTTTTTCAAGTTAGAATTTGAAGGGTTTTATTGAATGGTTCATCTGAGCTCATTTTTCCCCAAATTTTATGAAGGTAAGGTATTGTCTTACCAAAATAGATTTTATTGATAGCAACTTTCATTACTAAATAAAATTGTGTTAAATGAAGCCTGCCCTTACTCTCATCATGATTTAAGGCTGCTGCTTAATGAAAGGCAACAATTTGTTTTTGCAATAGATAATGTGGTTTGTGCAGGCAACAGATTCTTCGCAGCAAAATTGTACATGTTGTTGAAATAATGCTTTGTGCTTCGTGACTACCTCTAAAATAGACACTTGTGTCAGTTAACCTGAAAAAGTGATTTTTATGTCCTTCCTCGCAGATGATGTTTTTATTTCTCAATATGCTACTGGTCAGAAAGAGGCTTTGAGAGCAGTGTTAAAGCAAAAGTAAGTATATGTTGTTGTCAGTGTCTCATCTGTTCTGTTTCTGCACAGATATACTACTATACTGCTTCAGTTTCTGTCAAAATGCATAGCTGGTAAGGAAAAAGTATTCCTTATTGTTCTCTCTTAGTATTCTTTTTCTGTCTGTGAGGGTGGTTTCAGTTTATTTTATCATTCAGAGCTTGCTGGAGTATCTCGTTTATCTTACATATTTTTGATAATGCCTTTAGACTATTTGAATTAATGATTACACGATACAAGAGTCAGGCAAGACCTGCTCCAATAGATAATTAATTTTGTGGCAAAACCATATAATAGTTTTAAAGACGGATAAGGACACATGCTGTTCATCCATCAGCTGGAATTCTTGAAGACCAGAAATTTAGCTGGACTTTGCTACTAGTACATTGAACCTTGCAAAATACAACCTGTAAACATACTCTTTGTTGCGGTTGCAGTCATCACAGGGAAATGCCTTTTATATTAGAAACTGTAACATAATCCTGAGAAATTTCCCATGTCCTGCTAAAAGATGAGTATAAAACTATTTCTTAAGCATTTCTTCTTGAAGCTCTTGATGCCCATGTAAGTAGTGATACCAACGTCCTGCTAAAAGATGAGTATAAAACTATTTCTTGGGCATCAAGAGCTTCAAGAAGAAATGTTTATGTAAGTAGTGATACCAATGCTACATGTGGGAAATCGTTTGTTTGGAGAGGATATGGAGAAAACAGTGCTTTTTACAGGCATTTGTTTATTTTTATAGAACTCAAAATACTCCTGTGCTTAAGGAGGTGAAGGTACAACTCTTAGGAAATGCCGCCACAGAAAAAAAGGAATGTGTTGGTAAGGATGCCAGGTCAACACACAGGGAAGTTGATTCTGCAACAACCATCGCAGCAGCAACTGCTGCTGCCATTGCTACTACAGCTCCGCTTCTTAAAGTAAGTAGCTTGTGGTAATGTTAGTTCTTTGTCAACTTAAAATAGATGTTGAAATTGTTGGTAGCAGAGAGACTGAATGTATCTACTGTTTTCTCTTAGTCTTCTCAGACTTACTGGCCAATATAACTAATAAAGAAAACTATAGAGAACTAATTTGGATTTGGCTGAATGGGCAAATGGACAGAGACCATTTGATTTATCTTTTAGAATAATTTTGTAGTGTTGCTAAACCACAAGCGTTAGGGCTAACTAGGATTTTATTTGTTTCTTTTGGGAAGCAAATCATTCCATGATGATGGGAAGGATGCTTTGTTCTCTTCATGCTTGCACTTCTTTCACAGTAAGGGCTTTTCCTCCCAGGTTCAGAATGAATTGGAAGCAAAAGTTAACTCAGTTTCAGCATTGCTTCATAAACTACAGGAGACAGACAGACAACTGCAGCGTTTTGCTGAACAGCAAACGAATACAAAGACTCAATATGAGAAGCTCCACTGTCACGAAAGAGTCAGTGAGCTTGAAAAACAAATGAATGCTTTCATGGTGCAACGGATTCAGCGCTTGGAAAAGTTACAGGAACAACAAATGAATATTCAGGTATCTAAGTAACAATGAAGAAGCTTTAGCTTAATCATGTCTTCTGTATCTCAGTGTTAATGTTATAATAATGTGGATTATATCTTAGTATTAGAAAGAAAGAAAGATCCAGTGGCCAGCACATGAGCTTGAAGTTTTTTGGGAAAAGTTTTATTTCTGATTCTGTGCCAGATATCTGTTCCTCTCCCCACCCCTAATTTTTGTGTCTGTAGAAAGTAAATGCAAAAGATGGGCGATGTTCTCATTCCCACTAAGAAATTGTTTAGACCTTTGGTGACTGAAGAAACTGAATTTAATAACTAGCCGGTCAGATTAAAAAATCTAAGAACAGTTTTAAATTGTTTCTTCAGAGATCCCTGCGTGCTTTTTGAAAGACAGAATAATGTCCAAGCATGTCTGTGTTCCAAGGTTGTTGTAAATTAGCATGTCAAAATCTGATGAATATGATTACATGGCAAGTATGCAAGCCTAGAATTTTACCTGGGGAAACTAATACATATATCAGAAATACTTTGTAATTTTGTCTCTTAGTCTCATCTCATTAGCTCTGCAGTCAACATGGGTGGCTTACAACAAATTCACGTACCTTCCTCCAGTCTCATGACAAAACAATCTGAGGAGCCGGAACAGCGATTGTTTACTAATGGAGCATCTTCATGTCAGAGGGGTTTATTTCCTACCAGTGGTCCACCTGCCCAAGGTGAAGACAAATTCTTAATATCTTACTTCCAATGTTTTGCATTAATTTGGTTTCCATTAATAGTGGATTGTACATCACATCAGTAATGAGTAGGAAACATTTCTTCTGTCTAACTGATTTTATTGCCTAATATACTGTGTAATATATACCAGTTATTCTGAAAGCATTCCAGTTTAAATTAAAGTGAGAGTTTGGTATTTATTGACTGCTTAGTCTGCACCAAGAGAGGCCTAGACCTAACCTGAAATAATCATACTGAGAAATAATCTATGTGGAAGCTTGTAATGAACTAGCTCATACTATGGTTGGGTTTTGGGGGTTTTTTTGATCCCTTTATAATAGCACTTGTAAGCATGAAACTTTCTTCCTGTTTACTTTTTAACTAGTTCTGTAATGTTTTGCATTTTTATGAAAAATTCATAATGTTAGCATGTTTTTTTTTTTCCTAGATTTATTTTCCTGTGAAGGAAATTGTTAAGATATACATAACGTTAATTTTTTTTTTTCCCCTTTGAAGCACATTCAAGCCAATTGCAAAGTCATGGCATTCGTACATCAAAATCTCCTCTAAAGACACCAGTTCCTCGGAGATATGCTCCAGAACCTGTATCAAAAAATGCGAAAATCTCAAAGAAAGAAAACCCTGTAACAGAAAAAGAAAATATTCCCAAATCCACATGTGAAGGTACTGTAAGACACTCCTGTCCTCCACTGGCATGAATAGTATGGTCTGAGGTTTACTTGTGTGGTCCTCACCTAATCTGAGCTGTTGGGTTGCTGGCACTTAAATACATATAATCAGAATATTTGAAAGTACGTTTGGGAAGGGTTAATTTTGTGGATAAGTCATTTACTTTTAACTAACTAAAAACTTAATGACAATACTGATCTAACCTATAGTGTCTCAACATGATTGCTCATTGAAATGTTTTTCTCAAGTGAAAAAGTGAACGACCGTTTATTGTCGGGTTTAAGGAAGATTACTCAGAATAATGAAAAACTTGGGAACTACTCAATAACTGTATTATTACCATTGGTTAAATTATTTTTTTTCTTTTTTAATAAAAATATGCATTGATAGGGTCTCTAGGCCATTGTCATGAAAACACCATTTGTAAAGCAAAAGAAGTAATTTTCTTTTACTGCTTTTGATCAGTTTAGTGGCGTTAAACTCAGTTTTGAAGATTTCATCAAAAACTTAAGTACCTTTTTTTAGCTGGTTGTGTTTAGAATTGCTTGAGTATTGAGGAAGAACATTTAAAAGACCTAGCTGTTGTCCTCCATCATGGACAAAGTGCCTGTTTGTGTCTTTAGCAGATCCTTCTCTATTTATTTTTTTTTTTTAGCAAAGCTGTCATGTATTCCTGTTGTTCCAGGGGTCCAGGAGTAAATTAAATGAGACAGGAAAAAGAACAAATCTGTAACATTTTATGGATGGAATGTTTCCCTGTGACTCATGCTGTCACAGTTTCATTCACCTGTTTTCTGACTTTGCTAATGTAAAGCAGTCATAGTAAGATAGATTAGTGGGAGTGGTTTTATGTGACTTATCTGAACTAAATCTGCATTTTAAAATTTAAAAAATTATTTTTACTATCCCTGGTGATTAATATAATGGTGAAATATCTGGAAAGGAAAAGAAAGTATTAAATGTATTGAACAAACTTAACAGTGAATGTACCTTTCTTTTTTTCTGCTTTAGGTGAAGGGAGATTTCTTGAGCATATTCTGAATTCTCAAGAAATGCCACTGAGGCAAACTGAATTTTCTGAGAAGGCAACATTAAACAGTAATAAAATGAGCTGGCATTCTGAGAGAGACAGGTAAATAAATGTAACAATCCAAAATTGAGGAAGATTTGTTTGGTTGGTTTTTTAGTGGAATCGAGAAAGGTATATTAGATACTGATGGTGTAAGAGTCACTGTCATGGACCTTGAGTCTGACAAAGCTCTGTGCTTGAAGTAAAACACTGGAGCACTGGTATTTCTATGCTGTTTCTGTATTTCTCTTGTACTGACGGTCAATGAAAGCTCATTGCTAAGGATAGTTTGCAACACCTTTCTCAGAGGTCAGCAGGTGTTCCTTGGAGTGCTTTTCTGTCTTCTGCATGTATTTCTTCTATTGCAGCAGCTTGTGGAGTAGTGTCAGGAAGCCAGCTATAGAGGCATCATGTTAAAGTGGAATTGCCCTTGTTGGTGAGCCTCCAAGCTGCCTACTTGTGGAAGCTGTATGAGAATGCTTTGTTGGGAAGGAGCAGCATCAGCCTAGCAGTTTCTAAGATTTAGAGTGAGTTAGGAAATTTTTTAGAATTTAGAAATATATCCAAGGTTGAAATATTGCTCTGTTAGATCTGAATTTTAGATGTAGTTTTACTGTTCAGAACACAAGGTGTTAAGTGGTAACCAGAGAAAACCCAGTAACCTGTCTTTCAATTCAATTTCATATAAAGGTTTGGTATTCTTGCACTTCAAATTCATGTTCAAAGTTGGTTACTTTCTTGGGCCAGATGAGGAGCTGTGAGACTTAATCAGGAATGTTTCTCCCATCAGGCATACTGCTTTGCGTACAGACTCATTCCCTGCTGTTGAAAGCTCCTTCCAAAATTGCAGTTCAATTGAGAAAACAGTGAAAAAAGCAGATGATTTGCTCCAAGATCTTGGCCAGTTGAAAAGAGAAATGCATGACATACTACAGGTAAGGTCCATGTTACCAGAATGACCAAGAGTTTGAATAAGGGGAATAAAAAAACGTGGAGAAAAACTTACAAGGTCTGGTATCAGTAGAGGAGTTGCCCTTGCTTCTACCTCTGTAAAAAGGCTGACATTTGTTTACAATTACTTGAAATATTGCAGTCTTTTTATGTGGAAGGACCTTGAGCCTGCATAGTATCTCAATGAATATGCAATGGACTAGACTGTAGAGGCTCTTACTGCCATTGTACCTAACATAAAAACAGGTTTAAAAAAAAAAAGTATTTAATTGTTTGTTTTAGGGTTTCAGATGTTTTCAGTGCCTGTTTTGTGCTTGATCTCTTCCTGTGATACTAGAGCTACAGAGCTCATACAACGTTCCTGTTTGGGAAAGAACAGTGTTCTATTTATCTGCAGTCAACTTTAGGGATGACTTAAGCTGCTTCCTTTCTCATTTTGCGATGTCTTTTTGTGAAGCATGCCATTTCCAAAGAATTGCCTGGCATACATCATTAATTTTTTCTCATGCTAATGATTTTGTACCTTGGGTGCTAGAATGGTTCTGTGCTGGCAGCATGTAACTTACGTCTGGCTTTTGAAAAATTGAGGGGTTTATCTGTTTATTAAACTGGTTGCATGTGGAAGCAAGTTATACCTGGCCATTTAGACTGTCTGCTGTGGTCCTCTCTGTTCTTGTAAATGTAAGGAGGGGGGAGGGAAGAAAGACTTGAATATCCACAGGTTTGTGAATTGGCTTGGAACATAGTAGAGAGGATTTTATTGGTTTGTTTCTGTGGTTGAAGGTTTCAGGTTGCATATTTACCTAAAAATACTGTGTATTACGTGCCAGTTATTTGTTACTGTATCTTTAGAAAACATAGCTTCATCTGTCCTATCTTATAGTATAGCTGGTGCATTGTTTCATAGATTTTGTAAGATATTAGTGGTTTGCATGTTTAACTGTTCTCACTAGTAACAGGACCGATGCCATGTGCCCCATTTCTATTGCAAATACTTGCTTACCACTATTGCTAGAAACTTACATTGAATAACAGCTTAGTATAAGCAGCACAAAACAGGACAAGATGGGAGAAGGAATGGCAGCTGAGAAAGACACAGTTGACATAAATGGATTCAAATATCTTTTTTTCATATGAAAAAGATCGATAGGAAGACAGAGATGATGACTTCAGCAAATGCAGAGTTGAGTCAGTTACTTAGCTATTGAGAGAGAAGTAGAGTGAGAAAATAAACACTTGGGATAAATGACCGCTAGCTCTGTGATAGGAGCAAATGAAAGGCCAGAGTTAACTGAGGTAGGTTGAGAAGGAACAGAAGGTGGTGCTCTAATCCGAAAGAAGCGTGCAGTGAGATTTAGTAGTTCCCAAGGAATTTATTGTGCTCATTTAAATTGATCAAATATCTACTCTAGATTTCACCTTGACAGATCTGTCTTTAAGTTTCAACAGCTCTTTTTCTGTCTTTTTAGGAAGCAAATTCATGGAAATCTGACATGAATGGTCTTATTAAGGTATACCTTGAATTTTTATGGTTTGGTTTTTCTTTTTTTAATACTGTAATACTGAAACAGTTTTGAACATGCTGGCAATGAGATAACACCACAGTAACTATTGCATACACAAATTATTTTTTTTAAAGTTGCTATTATGTGCAGATTACATTAATCAAAGTAAAATTTAACTTGTTCTTTGACTTGTCATATTCAATCTTAGTGAGCTATCTTGAGGGAATAATACAAATGTCTGGCAGAAAAGCTGTTGCCTCAAAACGGGCATGGTGTGGACTGCTAATACAATTACCATTTCATGATCTGAGTCTAACTGGCAAAAGTCTACGTAATTTTACATTTGAACGTGTATCTGTATTTCTTAACATTTTCTCACAAAGTTCACCTGTCTTATTGAGCTAGCATTTGACAAAAAGTTTCATTTTAAAATTAAAACCTATATAAAATTGTTAAATAGTTTGGTATACAATAGTTTGGCCATACACCTGTTAGAACATAAACTTTTGTTTAATTCTGATTTGATAAAAGAGTAACCTTAAAGCCAAAACCTACTTTTTTTTTTTTTATCTGAGATATATTTTTTTCTGTTCATTCAGTTAACGCTTTCAGAGTCTACTCAAGTTTTGGCATTTTGGTTTTGGTTTGGTTTTTCTTTATGTGCATTTATCACTATTTAAATTTTTTTGCTTCCTTTCTGGAAAATGAAGCGCTCTGTTTGGGATCCTCTGGGTTTCCTGAGGAGTGTGAGAATGAATGTGAGAACTACAGTTGTGTTGCTCCTTGTTTCCCACCTACTTGTCCCTTCCTTTTGTATTTAGTGGCTTGATTTTTATCTCTGTAAAAGGGTTCTGCAAAGTAAAAGGCTAATAGTTGCTTCATTGTTTCTTATAAAAAGCAACAATCAGGAAGAAGGGGAGAGGATTGTGGTGCTGTTGAGGTGTTTATTCTGTTGTTAAAACGTAGGCATATTGCCTGGTGTTTCTTGGGATGTATTGATGCCAAATGAGTGCGTATATTTAGAGAACTTTGGTTTTTATTATGCCTTTAATTATACTTAAATACTGTTACATGGAGAGATTTGCATGTAATACTTCATATATCTAATTGGCATCTTTTCATGTGCTTATTTGCTTCACTGGCAAATTGCTTCTCATACATTACATCATTTGTCATTTGAGAGCTTTTTGATGTGTTTCCATTTGCTTAACTTTTAAATATATTTGCAACTTCTTGAGTAATTGAAGTTGATGATAGTACATGTGGACGGTATTTCATACAATGGGCATTGATTTGATAATAGATTAATAGGAATTCTGACCAGTCTGTAGAAAATTGAAATTACAATCTCTGATTAAAAGCTAGTGGTTCTGTTTCAATTTTAGTCAAAAAAACCTACTGTTGCATCTGATCTTCCTGAACATCATCAGCTCAATAAACCATCCATCCTTCAAAATGTTAAAGTGCCAAAATCTATACTAAGGGATGCTGAAAGGATTTTGAGAGGAGTTCAAAACAATAAAAAAGTTCTTGAAGAAAATCTGGAAGCTGTTATTCGTGCAAAAGATGGGGATGCCATGTATACTTTCATTAACGCCTTGACTACAAACAGGTTAGACCCTATTATTCAGTGCTTTGTGTGACTACTCATTGCTTGTGCTCACCTTTTATCAACTCTCTCAATTTTTTTGATTCTGTGCATTGAAGAACTAGGGCAGTTTCCTGAAAAAAAGTATTTATTGATTCTTCTTTGCAATCATGAGATGATTCTCTTGAACATCAAATGTTTTTTGACTCTCCTGATGTGACTTTAATTTTTTGATGGATGCCTATGAGGTCTTGATATGATTGATGCTCCAGAATTTAATCTGAATTCTGAGACTCTATCATCTGGACAAACTGCTCTGCTGTCATGACAAGGGGCATTTAGCTTTTTATAGACAAACTTGCATTAATAGGAAAATTAAGCAGTAATTTAATAATTTTAAACAGAAGAGGCTTCATTAACCTGTGAATGTTAGAGTTAGTCATCCTACAGCAGATCTTTGGCTTTTGAACTTTTGCTTCATTAGTTGCATTAAATACTCCTGCTTGAATCATGATGAAAATTTTCTTAAAATGCTCCTTAATCTTGTGTTTTCCTGAGGAAGGTAACTATTCTCTTCATGTAAAGATTTCTTTCAAGCATGATATCCGCTATCATTATCTTTTAGAGGAAGTGGTAATTTTTGTCATCTGCTTTTTGTCTTTCAAGTTGGAATGTTTTTGTTGCCTTGCTTTTTCAGTTTTTCATCAAAATAGGAACTGACACATGCCTACGCTTATTCATAGATGTTGTAATAATAATAGTATGTACAAGCAGGGGTGGTGTTTGCAGGTGACATTATATAAGAACAGATTTAGGTTTGGGAAACTCGGATAGGGTATGCTTAGTGCCTTTTGGACACTGTTAGGGGTACATAATCTTACTGTCTCTGTGTTCTGGGTTTCTCTTTTTATAGTGTTTATAGGTCATTACTTTCCCAGGAACAAATCTGTGCAATTTAAGAAGCACTGAC